GATGGACATGTCGACCAGCTGGTCGAAAGTGAGGCTGGTGTCCCTACAAGCAAACTCCCGACGGACGTCCTCTCGTAGGCTACATCTGTATACATCGATGAGGGCCCGATCATTCCACCCTGCATCTGCCGCTAGAGTACGGAATTCAAGAGCGAATTCCTGGGCACTCCTCCTCCCCTGCCGGAGGAAGACCAGACGCTCCCCCTCCGCTTTCCCCTCCGGGGGATGGTCAAACACCGCCCTGAAGCGGCGGGAGAACTCGTCGTATGTAATCGTCGTGGCGTCGATCTTCCTCCACTCCGCGTTGGCCCACTCCAACGCTTTACTGGCCAGGCAGGAGATCAGGGCGGACACGCTCTCATGCCCCGAAGGTGCCGGGTGCACTGTGGCCAGGTATAGCTCCACCTGGAGTAGAAATCCCTGACACCCAGCCGCGGTCCCGTCGTAGGCCCTCGGGAGAGATAGTCGGACTCCTCGAGGTTCCGGCGCTGGAATGAGCGGGCTGGCCGATGGTGCTGGCAGGGAGGGAGGTGGTGGAGGCGTACCCCAGCCTCGGATGGTGGAAATCACCTCCTGCAGGGCGGTCCCCATCTGTTGGATCTGCTCTCGTTGGTCCCGAACCTGGGCCTCCAGTCTCGTCTGAGCTGCTTCGGCTCCTGCTGATTCCATTGAAGGTGTGTAATTCTGTCAGGCGTGCTGTAGGTGTAATGGTGGAATCAAACGCAGGACTCAGAACGATATTCCCAAAGGCTTGTATTATAGGCCAAACTAAGGCAAAATTGAAACTTTGCCCGGAGGCAACAATTACGCACGAAGGCGAAAAGAAACTACGCACAAACAGGTGCGACAAAATAGTAACCGCGCACAGACAGGTGCGACAAAATAGTAACCACGCATAAACAGGTGCGAAAATACTCCAGAGTAATGGAGAGAAGCTCAACCGAGCAATACACACAACTGACGGAAAATCAATTACACACAACACTAGACAAACACAACGAGAAACTTATAGGACACTAATTACGCCAAAACAGAAACAGGTGTGAAAACAAACAGACCAAAGCAAACGAACAAGAAACAAACAGCGGTGGCAGCTAGAATTCCGGAGACGACGAACGCCGAAACCTGCCCGAACAAGGGAGAGAGGCAGCCTTGGCCGAAACCGTGACAGATACATGGCCCCATTCATTCTTTCCTTTACACGGATCAGTCGTCCTGGTCCCTTTGCAGAAAAACAACCCCAAAACATGATGTTTCCACCCCCATGCTTCACAGTAGGTATGGTGTTCTTTGGATGCAACTCAGCATTCTTTGTCCTCCAAACACGACGAGTTGAGTTTTTACCAAAAAGTTCTATTTTGGTTTCATCTGACCATATGACATTCTCCCAATCCTCTTCTGGATCATCCAAATGCACTCTAGCAAACTTCAGACGGGCCTGGACATGTACTGGCTTAAGCAGGGGGACACGTCTGGCACTGCAGGATTTGAGTCCCTGGCGGCGTAGTGTTTTACTGATGGTAGGCTTTGTTACTTTGGTCCCAGCTCTCTGCAGGTCATTCACTAGGTCCCCCCGTGTGGTTCTGGGATTTTTGCTCACCGTTCTTGTGATCATTTTGACCCCACGGGGTGAGATCTTGCGTGGAGCCCCAGATTGAGGGAGATTATCAGTGGTCTTGTATGTCTTCCATTTCCTAATAATTGCTCCCACAGTTGATTTCTTCAAACCAAGCTGCTTACCTATTGCAGATTCAGTCTTCCCAGCCTGGTGCAGGTCTACAATTTTGTTTCTGGTGTCCTTTGACAGCTCTTTGGTCTTGGCCATAGTGGAGTTTGGAGTGTGACTGTTTGAGGTTGTGGACAGGTGTCTTTTATACTGATAACAAGTTCAAACAGGTGCCATTAATACAGGTAACGAGTGGAGGACAGAGGAGCCTCTTAAAGAAGAAGTTACAGGTCTGTGAGAGCCAGAAATCTTGCTTGTTTGTAGGTGACCAAATACTTATTTTCCACCATAATTTGCTAATAAATTCATAAAAAATCCTACAATGTGATTTTCTGGAAATTCTTTCCTCAATTTGTCTGTCATAGTTGACGTGTACCTATGATGAAAATTACAGGCCTCTCTCATCTTTTTAAGTGGGAGAACTTGCACAATTGGTGGCTGACTAAATACTTTTTTCCCCCACTGTACCTTGATGACCGAAAAGCTCAATTTTAGTCTCATCAGACCAGAGTACCTTCTTCCATATGTTTGGGGAGTCTCCCACAAGCCTTTTGGAGAACACCAAACATGTTTCCTTATTTCTTTTTGTAAGCAAATGGCATTTTTCTGGCCACTCTTCCGTAAAGCCCAGCTCTGTGGAGTGTACGGCTTAAAGTGGTCCTATGGACAGATACTCCAATCTCCGCTGTGGAGCTTTGCAGCTCCTTCAGGGTTATCTTTGGTCTCTTTGTTGCCTCTCTGATTAATGCCCTCCTTGCCTGGTCCGTAAGTTTTGGTTGCGGGCCTCTCTTGGCAGATTTGTTGTGGTGCCATATTCTTTCCATTTTTTAATAATGGATTTAATGGTGTTTCGTGGGATGTTCAAAGTTTCTGATATTTTTTTATAACCCAACCCTGATCTTGTCACGATCGTTGACACATGATGAAGCGGACCAAGGCGCAGCGTGATAGGTGTACATACTTTTATTAGTGTACACACAACGAACCAAAACAATAAACGATACGTGAAGTCCAAGGTTAAATACACAAACCTTCCGGAACAAGATCCCACAATGAACTAGTGCAAACAGGCTGCCTAAGTATTGGCCCCAATCAGAGACAACGAGCTACAGCTGTCTCTGATTGGGAACCACCCTGGCCAACATAGATATAAATGATCTAGAACAAAACATAGAAAACTATAACATAGAACCTACACACCCTGGCTCAACATAAAAGAGTCCCCAGAGCCAGGGCGTGACAGTCCCCCCCCCCCCCCCCAAAGGCGCGGACTGCGACCGCGCCAACCAAAACCAACAGGGGAGGGGCCGGGTGGGCATTCCGCCTCGGAGGCGGATCCGGCTCCGGGCATGACCACCACTCTCTTTCTACCCCTCCGTAGCGGCCCTGGTCTGGTCCCGCTGGCTGGAGCTGGACTGGACACCGGTGGAGCGGATTGCTCTGGCTCCGGAGTGGAGCAGCTGACCGGTGCCTGACCAGGCACCGGTGGAACAGGCACGGGCCGTGCCGGACTGACGACGTGCACCACTGGCTTGGTGCGGGGAGCAGGAACGGGCCGGACCGGGCTGACGACGTGCACCACTGGCTTGGTGCGGGGAGCAGGAACGGGCCGGACCGGGCTGACGACGCGCACCACTGGCTTGGTGCGGGGAGCAGGAACGGGCCGGACCAGGCTGACGACGCGCACCACTGGCTTGGTGCGGGGAGCAGGAACAGGCCGGACCGGGCTGGCGACGCGCACCACTGGCTTGGTGCGGGGAGCAGGAACGGGCCGGACCGGGCTGACGACGCGCACCACTGGCTTGGTGTGGGGAGCAGGAACAGGCCGGAACGGGCTGGCGACGCGCACCACAGGCTTGGTGCGAGGGGCAGGAACAGGCCGGACCGGGCTGGCGACGCGCACCACAGGCTTGGTGCGAGGGACAGGAACAGGCCGGACCGGGCTGGCGACGCGCACCACAGGCTTGGTGCGGGGAGCAGGAACAGGCCGGACCGGGCTGGGAACACGCACCATAGGCTTGGTGCGGGGAGCCGGAACGGGCCGGGCTGGACTGGGAACACGCACCATAGGCTTGGTGCGGGGAGCCGGAACGGGCCGGGCCGGACTGTGGATGCGGACTGGAGGTCTGGAGCGGAGAGCTGACACAACCCGTCCTGGCTGAATGCCTACTTCCACACAATATGTGTGAGGCATCAGCACAGGACGTACAGGGCTGTGCACTCGTACTGGCGCTACAGCACGTGGCACTGGCGCAGGATATATACGGGACCGAGGAGGGGTACTGGAGGCCACGAGCGTTGAGCCGGCACACTCTGTCCTGGCTGCATGCCCACCTTATCACGACACGTGCTTGGTGCTAGCACAGGACGTACAGGACTGTGCCGGAACACTCGCGGCACAGTACGTGGCTCCGCATAACACGGAGCCTGCCCTTTTAGCCCCCCCAAAAAAAGTTATTGGGGCTGTCTCTCGGGCTTCCTCCTCGGCCGGTACCCACTGCGTTGCCGCTGCTCCTCTCTGTAGCGCGCCTCCACAGTCTCCTCCCAAGGACGGCGATCCATTCCGGCCTGGATCTCTTCCCAAGTCCAGGATCACTTCCCGTCCAGGATCTCCTCCCAAGTCTGTTCCTGGACACGCTGCTTGGTCCTCCTTTGGTGGGAACATAGAACCTACACACCCTGGCTCAACATAAAAGAGTCCCCAGAGCCAGGGCGTGACAGATCTGTACTTCTCCACAACTTTGTCCATGACTTGTTTGGAGAGCTCCTTGGTCTTCATGGTACTGCTTGCTTGGTGGTGCCCCTTGCTTAGTGGTGTTGCAGACTCTGTGGCCTTTCAGAACAGGTGTATATATACTGAGATCATGTGACAGATCATGTGACACTTAGATTGCACACAGGTGGACTTTATTTAACTAATTATGTGACTTCTGAAGGTAATTGGTTGCACCAGATCTTATTTAGGGGCTTCATAGCAAAGGGGGTGAATACATATGCACGCACCACTTTTCCGTTATTTATTTTTTAGAAATGTTTGAAACAAGTTATTTTTATAATTTCACTTCACCAATTTGGACTATTTTGTGTATGTCCATTACATGAAATCCAAATAAAAATCCATTTAAATTACAGGTTGTAATGCAACAAAATAGGAAAAACGCCAAGGGGGATGAATACTTTTGGAAGGCACTGTAGTTGTTGTTTTTATCGCTTTCTCAGGAACTTGGAGCTGCTTGTCACGCTGCCTGGTGGGGACAGTGTGAGAGGGTTCTTCATGGTCACTCTGCTAGTAGAGCTTGCTGCAGTGCCAGCCATTAAGGTGAAGGCCTCTCCTGAAACACACAAACAGAGCTGTATAATCAGATGTCCAGTTGGTCACACATGTGTTGCACATTCTGAGAAGGATAGGCATGAAACTGTCAGAGGAAACACTGGTCTTTTAGTTGTTACTAGTAAAGACAAAACAGACAAGACACACAAATATAAATACTAGATCACATAACTGAGCAGATAATATCCATAGTATTATGTTTGTTTTTTGATGCCTTGTTGTGTTTCAGAGTATTCCTGTGGTTATTAATGGGGTCCAGTGCGGTGATGCTGAGACTGTGACCAGAGCACTAGAGGAATCCAGCCAGGCCATGCAGGGCATGACAGATGCACTTAAACTGATGCATGGTACTACAGCTGAAACAAATTAGATGTTTTACTGCATTGACATTCAGTCCAGTTCACCTGCATTCTTAGCATATAGATGTCTCTTATGTTGTTCCAGTGTATGTCAAGCCAGAAGTCTTCTATGGCATTATGAGGATCTATCTTTCTGGGTAGGTACTGAATACCCCTAGGCCTAGACGATACAAAATGAGTTTGTATGTCTGATAAAAGTTAATGACGCATATAAAATACATATAATATATGACGATATACTGAGAATACCAAACATTAGGAACACCTTCCTAATATTGAGTTGCCCCCCCCCCCCCTTTGCCCTCAGAACAGCCTCAATTTGTCGGGGCATGGACTCTACAAGGTGTCAACAGAATTCCACAGGAAAGCTGGCGCATGTTGACTCCAATGCTTCCTATAGTAGTGTCAAGTTGGCTGGATGTCCTTTGGGTGGTGGACCATTCTTGATACACACGGGAAACTGTTGAGCGTGAAAAACCCAGCAGCGTTTCAGTTCTTGACACAAACCAGTGCACCTGGCACCTACTACAATACCCTGTTCAAAGGCACTTCAATCTTTTGTCTTGCCCATTCGTCCTCTGAATGTCACACACACACAATCCATGTCTCAATTGTCTCAAGGCTTAAAAATCCTTCTTTAACCTGTCTCCTCCCCTTCATCTACACTGATTGAAGTGGATTTAACAAGTGACATCAATAAGGGATCATAGCTTTAACCTGGATACACCTGGTCAGTCTATGTCATGGATACTCAGTGTATTATATACCTGTATGTGTTTGGGTCAGGTGGAAAGACAACTCCTCCATGCCAGCTGGGTTGGTGTATGAGGGCGTCCAGGCAGAGCCTATGGAGTATTCTGGTGGGAGTGCTGCCCAGAGCAGTCTGCTGCACTGCTTTGATGAGCTGCTGGGTGTCAAACATGAAGCAAAGAGTGGTAAGAAAGCAAAGGTCCAGAGGAGTCAGTGCATAGAAAAAATATTACCACACAAAAATCCATCAATGTTATGCAGAGATATGAATGGCTGCTTTAACACATACTTTTTAACAGCCGTTTATTTAGGCAATAAGGAAATGTTCAATTAGAACCACAAAGAGTTTTTGAGGAGGGGGGTGGGGTGTGGGGACGTGTTATACAGACGTCTACAACATGCATTGGCATGGCATTTTATTCTACATAGAAATCTTTCTTTACACTTAGGTATCCTAAAGACGTAATATCCAGTGAGGGTGAATGTGCTATCTACTTGTACAGGTGCCTTTCTGACCCTTATGAGGAACTACATGCCCCCTTCCCACAAGCGTCTGATCCAGGACATCTCTCTGCAGCCCTCCCTGCGAGGCTTCGTCCAGCAGCAGGCCTGTGAGCCGCTGACCGCAGCCTTCCAGCTCTGTGTGACCAAGCTGCTGGCCCTCCGCAGTTACCACATCAATGTGGTCAGCCGCTTCATCACTGTGCCTGCTGCCCGTGCCCGACAGCTCCGAAAACAGGGAAACAGTTCCCAGGAGGAGACTGTCAGCAGGGCGCCCACGGCTCTGGAGGAGACGGGCACCGGCGGCTCGGGCATCATGAGCTTCCTCAAGACTGTAAGGGACAGCACACGGGACGTCTCCCTGCCTCTGGACAACAGGGACATGCAGAAGAGCCCAAACGGATCACAGCTTCAAAACACACAACACGCAACACAACCAAAACATCTGCAATCTAACACACTTTAGAGACACTTTAATACCTATGTTTAATACATTTATGAAATGACTGGAAATTATAAGAGCTTTGTGCATAACCTGTTGCTCTATCAAGGTTTAATGTCTGACTAAACAAGTCCCAGTGTTATTGACTGTAGAAATGATGTCACTCTTTCAGTCCAAACCTTAATTTAAACCATCAGTGTTAATTTCCATTAAATGCAACCACTAATTTCTTAATTTAATCTAAAATATAATGTAAAATATGTATTGGATGACTAGTCCAGACCGACTGTGCTCATACCACAATCCCCAATTCCTGCATCACAGTCTCATGCAAGAAATCTCGCACTTATCCCCAGGGAAGTTATTTTTAGAGTCAGACTGAGGAAAGTTTAGAAAGTTTAGCTTACCATGATCTGAGGTCCAGACTGTTAATACGTACAACCAGGGTTATACTTAACCATAATCTGAATATTGATTTAATAGGTCACCATTACATACAGTCAGGGTTTTTCTGTTGGCAGTTGTATGATGGTTGTTGAATTTGTTGTGTACCTATTTCTGCTTTTTATTAGATATGTATGTCCTGTTTGGGAGTTTTTGCAAAATAAGTAATTTGAAGATCCCTGCAATTGATCATCATGACCAACATAAAAAAGTCCTAAGGGCTGCAGTACCCAGAGACACCAGAGTAGGGCACTGAAGTGACAGCATGTCAGAGAGAGAGAGAGAGAGAGAGAGAGAGAGAGAGAGAGAGAGAGAGAGAGAGAGAGAGAGAGAGAGAGAGAGAGAGAGAGAGAGAGAGAGAGAGAGAGAGAGAGAGAGAGAGAGAGTGACCACTGGCCATGTACATCAGATAACTGAGGAAATGGATAGTCCTCACCACCTTCCATCATTATTATTATGGTCCCGTTGAGGCACATGTACTGGCTCATGTTTTCGTCTTATGTTTTAATCATGGGATGAAAGAAAGCATCACATCAAATTCAATCAGAGACATGCCAAGTAAGCAAGGAGTGTAAAGTGTTCAGGAACAACAGGCTTATTCTTAAAATGTCTGTATTCATTGTGTATACAATTTAGGTCCAAGTAGGGCACTACAATGTTTTGCACACTGGATATAAACTGCCATTGTCAGTCCTCTATATAAAGGAGTGCTATCTCCATCAGGGAGTTATTTCAGAGCACAATGCCCAATGCAGTGGATTGAAGCTCCATCAGTTACCAGAGAGATTCCTTCACTCCTCCAGACCAGCGCTCCTCCTGCCCACATACACCCCCCACATGCCCCAGCTATCCCTTCCTGGAGTGATAGAGCATGGAATACCCAGAGAAATAAAGAGCTGGATTGTGCCATGAATGGCCTGTGTGCCGTGGTATTATCTTCACCTTTCCTGGCTCGCCTCCATTGGCGTTTCATTACAATAGCTGTCATGCCCCATCAGATAAAGCTGGTGATGTGTGTCAATCTGCCATGGAAATCCAATTCCACAAACCTGACCGATCTATCTTACCCTCTCTCTTCTCCCACATGCTGAATAGGGAGGACATGCAAAAACAAGAGATTGTCATTGAGGGGAAATTGATCTCAGGCATCTGTCCCAAAAAGCCATGGTTTTAGGGGCTGTATACTAACTACTTATTTTTCACTAAACAAGCAAACAGAGAAAGAAAGAGCTCATTTACTTACTCACACATACCTCTTTTACAATTGGAGAAACTGAGTGTAAAACATGACAGGGAGGGAGGGTCAGTCAGACAGACAGACAGACAGACAGACAGACAGACAGACAGACAGACAGACAGACAGACAGAGGGTCAGAAAGACAGACAGACAGACAGACAGAGGGTCAGACAGACAGACAGACAGACAGACAGACAGACAGACAGACAGACAGACAGACAGACAGACAGACAGACAGAGGGTCAGACAGACAGACAGAGGGTCAGACAGGGGGTCAGACAGAGGGTCAGTCAGACAGAGGGTCAGTCAGACAGAGGGTCAGTCAGACAGAGGGTCAGACAGACAGAGGGTCAGACAGACAGACAGACAGACAGACAGACAGACAGACAGACAGACAGACAGACAGACAGACAGACAGACAGACAGACAGACAGACAGACAGACAGACAGACAGACAGACAGACAGACAGACAGACAGACAGACAGACAGACAGACAGACAGACAGACAGACAGACAGACAGGGGAGTAGAATAGAGAACAAGAAGGGAGGGACAAACACTGCACTCATGTCGTAGTGATCTGATTAGAGCCCTCTTCTGCAGCCAAAGCAAATAATCCGTTCCTTATTACCTCAGAGCGGAGGAGTCCCTGACAACCCGAAAGTAAACACTGGCCATCTCTAAGGATCTGTTCATTGTGTGCCGGGCCTGTTGGGCCTGTCTGTCACGTGGGAGAGGGTTCATTGGATCTTACAACAGTGGCCGGTTTCGGGGGATGTGATACACAAACACACACACAAACACACAAACATACACAAAAACATACACACACCCTTCATTCTTTCATATGTTGTTCATTCAAGTCCATTGTATTGACTATGATGTCATAAAACATCAAAACTACATGGTGAAACCCCACTTTAACCTTTGGCCATGGAAATCAACCTAGAGCTGGGGGCTTCATTGGTCTCTGTCCTCATTCGGTAGTGCTGGTACAAACTCCTGTTACAGCACTCAATCCTCCATAAGATAAAGTAAATTTAGTAAAATTGCTGTTAATGATCTTACTGTACTGTATTAAATAACCTGGAAACTTGAATTTCGCAATCTGTTTTATTACAAACAAGAAGACAAAAATGCTTTCATGATTCACCTTTGGAGTTGATGAATGGTTTCCCAAGAGATTTTTTCCAGTTGTTATAAAATGAGCCATCGTTGGAAGAGAGAAGAATAAATGTTATTCAAGGCGCCTCCCCTCAACGAGGTTAGTAGGAGCCTGAGCACGTCAGGGCCTTTTGTCTTAAAGGTTAACAGAGCCACGACCAGAGTGACGAGCATAGCGGCTCACACTGACACCACTAGTGAGTGACTCACTGGCCAGGTGTGGATCAGAGACAGTGGTAATGATTTTATTAGATTTATTAGGATCCCCATTAGCTGACGCCAATGGCGACAGTTAGTCTTACTGGGGTCCGACATATAACGAAAAATACATTACAGACAAAATACTTTACAATTTACATACATTTCAAAACATTAACATGTAGTGTGTGTGTGCATCTATCAGTTACACATACATGTCAGTACATACACACAACAAGTAGGTCACATGTGCCGTGAGGTGTTACTATATTTGTTTTTTTAAACCAATGGGTCACACACACTCACACGTAGACATCCGCACGTACTCACACGTGCACAGTCAAACACACACACACACACACACACACAGTCATAACACCAGTGACTATCCACATGTTCCTGTGTCTGGCCTGTAGCCAGAGATTCCCCTGTGCACCACCACTGAACATCCCCCTCTGCCCCATCACACGTCCCACTGCTGGTTGTCCACCTCCCTCCTGCTCCACTGATTGACTTCCTCTTCCACTAAAGGTTGTCTCTAATGTCACCTTCCCTGCTGCTGCCCACACAATCATGTTATCAACAGCTTCTCATCCGTGTTTTTAACAAACTTACAGGAAGCTCCCCGGGGCTCTCCAGCATGGAGAGGGAATGTCCATCTATCCATCAATCTCTCTTTCTCTCGCACTCGCTCTCTCTGACACACACACCCCCACACGCCTACGAGTACTGTACATGCAGAAACACTAAAAGATACATAGCTTGATATGGAGAGCATGGCTGAGAGATAAAGTAGAAACTGAGTAGATTACAAAGCAGGTAATCGAAGATAAATACCAATCATCTATGGATGATGGTGATGAATTTGCAAACACTCAGGAACCATTAGGCTGTGTTCACACATCTGCCTGTTCAAAACCCAGCTAAGCTCAGTCCTGGTGTGCCTGTGCTTCAGTTGAGTGACAGCTGTTTGGAGCTGTGGCCCTTTTACACAAGGCTTTAAAAATACATACATGACCAAAAGTATGTGGACACCTGCTCGTCGAACATCTCATTCTAAAATCATGGGCCTTAATATGGAGTTGTTCCCCCCTTTGCTGCTCTAACAGCCTCCACTCTTCTGGGAAGGCTTTCCACTTGATATTAGAACATTGCTGCGGGGAATTGTTTTCATTCATCCACAAGAGCATTAGTGAGGTCGGGCACTGATGGGGTTGAGGTCAGGGCTCTGTGTAGGCCAATCAAGTTCTTCCACACCGATCTCGACAAACCATTTCTGTATGGACCTCGCTTTGTGCAGGGGGCATTGTCATGCTGAAACAGGAAAGGGCCTTCCCCAAACTGTTGCCACAAAGTTGGAAGCACAGAATCGTCTAGAATGTCACTGTAATGCTGTTGTGTTAAGATTTCACTAAGGGCCTAGCCCGAACCATAAAAAACAGCCCCAGACCATTATTCCTCCTCCACCAAACTTTACAGTTGGTACTATGCATTGGGGTAGGTACAGTGGCTTGCGAAAGTATTCACCCCCCGTGGCATTTTTGCTATTTTGTTGCCTTACAAGCTGGAATTAAAATAGATATTTTGGGGGTTTGTATCATTTGATTTACCCAACATGCCTACCACTTTGAAGATGCAAAATATTTTATTGTGAAACAAGCAAGAAATGAGACAAAAAAACTGAAAACATGAGCGTGCATAACTATTCACCCCCCCCAAAGTCAATACTTTGTAGAGCCACCTTTTGCAGGAATTACAGCTGCAAGTCTCTTGTGGTATGTCTCTATAAGCTTGGCACATCTAGCCACTGGGACTTTTTCCCATTCTTCGAGGCAAAACTGCTCCAGCTCCTTCAAGTTGGATGGGTTCCGCTGGTGTACAGCAATCTTTAAGTCATACCACAGATTCTCAATTGGATTGAGGTCTGGGCTTTGACTAGGCCATTCCAAGACATTTAAATGTTTCCCCTTAAACCACTCGAGTGTTGCTTTAGCAGTATGCTTAGGGTCATTGTCCTGCTGGAAGGTGAACCTCCGTCCCAGTCTCAAATCTCTGGAAGACTGAAACAGGTTTTTCTGGCCATTCTTCCGTAAAGCCCAGCTCTGTATCCGCCAATTCCAGATTTGTCTGTTGGACTGCCAGATGGTGAAGCGTGATTCATCACTCCAGAGAACGCATTTCCACTGCTCCATGGTCCAATGGTGGCGAGCTTTACACCACTCCAGCCGTCACTTGGCATTGTGCATGGTGATCTTAGGCTTGTTTGCGGCTGCTCGACCATGGAGCTCCCGACAAAGAGTTATTTTGCTGACGCTGCTTCCAGAGGCAGTTTGGAACTAGGTAGTGAGTGTTGCAACCGAGGGCAGACGATTTTTACACACTATGTGCTTCAGCATTCAGCGGTTCCGTTATGTGAGCTTGTGTGGCAGCCGGCCGCGACCGGGAGACTCATGGGCGGCGCACAAT